TATGAATTCTTGACTGTGGGCACTAGGTTACCATATGATCTGCCCTTAAAGAACTTTCTGCCATCTGACCCTCCAGTTTATAAAGCTGGCAAGAGTAGTAACCTCAGTTATCAAGGGGAATTGTTACATACAATATTAGTTATGAACTGCTCCTGAATGCACAGATTGTAAGTTCAGACTGCTGTGGATATTACTTTTAATATGCTGGCATCTCTTCTTTAATCCACAATTATGAGGGCCGGCGCTATGGCATAGTGGGTAAAGCCACGGTCTGCAGTGCTGGCATCCCATATGGGCACTGGTTCGAGTCCTGGCTGTACCGCTTCCAATCTAGCTCTCCACTGTGGCCTGGGAAAGTGGTAGAAGATGGCCCAAGTCCTTGGGCCTCTGCACCTGCATTGGGAGATCCAGAACAAGCTCCTGGCTCCTGGCTTCGGATCAGCACAGCTCCAGCCATTGCAACCAGTGGGGAGTGAACCAGTGGATGGAAGCCCCACCTTCACCGTCTCTCCTCTCTCTGTGTAACTCTGACTTTCAAATAAATAAATCAATCTAAAAATAAAAATAAAATCCACAATTATGGCTACTTCCCAGGTAATTCCCTATGTCCAGTTGACTCAAGGGGAAGAGCCAGTTCACCTGTTTACACATGGTTCTGCCCAGTATGCTAATGTGGTTACAGCTTTATAAGCTCACTCAAGAGTGTCCTTTGAAGGGTAATAGGGGAAAATAAATCCTATCTGAGCAGAATATTAAACAGAAAATCTTGTTCATTTAGCCTAGGAAAAGATGAACAGAGGAAAGGATCTAGACAGTGAGTAATAACTTCCTTGGACGTTTAGGGACTGAGAAGAACAATTAGGAAGTTGGTGGCAAGGATTCTGCAAAAGAGGTTTATGACTAGACCACCCAGAGAGAACACATAGTGGTGGACATTTTTTCTGTGGAAATCCTAGTGTGATGATTAATATCTCATCTTAGCTGGGCAGCAGAACCCAGATATTTGGCTGAACATTAATACGGATATTTTCTTGATGGTATGTTTTGGATGAGATTAACATTTAAATAAGTGGACCTTGATAGAAGAGTACTTTCAGTATTATGGGGGACATCTCTGTGGCACGGTGTATAAAGGATCCCTTTTCTTCACATCCTTAGCATTTTCTTCTTATCTTTTTCTTAATAGCCATCCTAGCAGATATGAGGTGATATCTTATTGTGGTTTTAATTTTAGTTTCCCTGATAATTAGTGATATTGACATTTTTTCATTTATCTCTTGGCCATTTACATCTTTTGAGAAATGTCTTTTTAGGTCTTTTGCCCATTCTTTAACTGTTTATTTATTTTCTTGCTGTTGAGTTGTTAAATTCTTTATTTTGGATCATAACCCTTTATTAGGCATATTCAAAAATATTTCTTTCCATTCCATAGGTTGTCTTTTACTATGTTGATTTGTTTCCTTTGCTGTGTTGACAATTTTTCGTTTGATGCAGTCCCATTTGTCTATATTTGCTTTTGTTGCTTATGCTTTTTGGGGTCATATCCGAAAAAGTCTTTGCCCAGAATAAAGTTAAGAAACCTTCAATGTTTGCTGCTGCTGCTTCTGCTTCTTCTTCATTGTCTTCATCATCTTCATTGTCATCTTCTTCTTCATCTCCTTCCTCATAGTCTTTGTCATCTTTGTCATTGTCTTCCCCTTACCTTTCTCTTTTCTCTTCCTCTTTTCTCTTCTCCTTCCTCCCTCCCTCCTTTCCTTTCCTCATTGTATGTTTTTGGCACCTTTGTTGAAAATCAAGTGGCCATAAGTGTGTGGATTTATTTCTGGGCGTCCATTCTGTTCCATTGGTCTTTATATTTGTTTTGTGCCTATACTACCTAGTTTTTAGTTCTCTAAGTTTATAGTATGTTTTGATGCCCTCTTTTGTTCTGTTTAAGATTGCTTTGGCAACTCTGAGTCTTTTGTGGTGCTATCTGAATTTTAGGATTGTTTTTCCGTATTTTTTTGTGAAAAACGTCCATTGGCATTTTGACAGGTATTGCATTGAATCTGTATATCACATTGGTAGTGTAGACGTTTTAACAGTTTTCTTCCAATCTATGGAGAACTTGTGTTCTCTACTTCCTTGGGTAATTTAGTCCTAGTTTTTTGAGGCCATCATACATGAGATTGTTTTCTTTATTTCTTTTTTAGATAGTTCATTATTCACATGTAGTTATACTGTTGATTTTTGTGCCCTGCAACTTTACTGAATTTTATTTTAGTTCTAACAGTGTTTTAGTGGAGTCTTTACAGTGTGTGTGTGTGTGTGTAATAATGCCATCTTGAAAGGGACAGTTTAATTTTCTTTTTGATTTGGATGCCTCTTATTTCTTTTTCTGGCTAGAACTTCCAGTACTATTTTGAATGAAATGGGGGTAGAGTGAACATCCTTGTCTTCTTCCTGATCTTACTCAAAAAGCTTTCAACTTTCCACTACTGAGTACAGTGCTAACTGTGGAGTTGTCATATATGGTCTTAATTGTTTTAAGGAACATTCTTTCTATACCTAATTTGTTGAGAGTTTATATTATGAAAGGATGCTGAATATTGTCAGATGCTCTTTCTGATATGATTATGTGGTTTTGTCCTTTATTCTGTTTATATGGTATATCACATTTATTGATTTGCATATGAACCATCCTTGTACCCCAAGGAAAAATTCCACCTGACCATGGCGAATGAACCTTTTAATGTGCAGTTGAATTTCGTTTGCTGATATTTTGTTGAGGATTTTTGCATCTATGTTCATCAGGTATGTGGGTTCATAATTTTTCTTTCCTTGTAGTGTCCTTGTTTGGCTTTGGTATCAAGGAAATGGTGGATCTGTAAATGAATTTGGGATATTCTTCTCTACAGTTTTTTGAAAGAGTTTGAGAAGGATTGGTGTTAATTCTGTAAATGTTTGGTAGAATTAACCTGGTAAAATTAGGCCCTGACTTCTTTGATGAAAGATTTTGATTACTGATTCAGTCTTTACTTGTTATAATTCTGTTCAGATCTTCTGTTTCTTCAAAATTCAGTCTTTGTAGGTTGTATGTTTCTGGAAAATTATCCATTTATTCAAGCGTATATCACTTATTTATATATAATTGCTCACCAGTCTATTATGATCCTTTATATTCCTATCATCTTTCATTTCTGATTTTCTTTCCTAGTCTAGTTAAGGATTTGCTAGTTTTGTCTATTTTTTCCCCAAAAATCAACTCTTCATTTCACCAGTTTTTTCTATTATGTTCCTATTACTCTTTCATTTATTTCTGCTTTGATCCTTTATCATTTCATTCATTTTTATGACTTTGGGCTTAGTTTACTCTTTTTTTTCTTATTCCTTCAGATGAACCCTTTGATTATTTATTTGCAATCTTTCTCCTTTTTTGATACAGACAGTTATTGCTACAAATATCCCTCTTAGAACTGTTTTTGCAACATCACACAAATTTTGGTATACCATGTTTTCCATTTTCATTTTTCTCAAGAGATTTTTAAATTTCCATTTTGATTTCTTCTTTGACCCATTGATGGATTGGGAGTAAGTTGTTTAATTTGCACATATTTGTTAATTTTCTGGAAAAATCAGCTAACTAAAAGAATCACCATGTTCTGAAAGAAAGTAAATAAATGGGGTCTACCATTGTAATGTTTAATTTTATTTTTCATAGTATTAACTTTTTGTTAAGTTTATATAAACTTATGAATTAAGATCCTAATTGGTCAATTCTAAGAAATTATTGAACTCAAAAGTATACCTTTTGCCATTTTTGATATTTTATATTTTTACAAATTCATGGGAATCTACTGCATATAAGAAAAATAAAATTAACTACTGAAGGCTTGATAAAGCCTTCATTTAGAAATTTGAATGTGTACCTGTATCCTTGCCCATACATTTAACTGTCTTGTTTTTTATGTTTATAATTACTTTAAATATAGTTCTAGTCTGGGTTATTCTAAAATTCAATTTAGATAAAAAATAAAGACAGGCTGAAAATAATAAGGTATCTTTATAAGTATCACTAGATATTAAAGTCATTATGTTAAAAAGTTCTTGTGATGACAAATATTGGGTCAACTAAATTTGAATTAAATGTTTTGGATTTTGACAAGCTAGGGCATTATTCATAAGTTGTAATAATGAATACAACCAAGCAAATTTTGTTTCCCTAATATATTTATGGTTTTATGTGCTATCTACTCTAAATAGTTTCTTTTTTCTTATACTTTCTCAAGATTCCATTAGCAAAAGCAATAGAGTGATAATCTAAATAGAAAAAGCTACCAAAATACAAAAAGGAAAAAAAAAAAGGGAGAAGAAGAAGAAAACAATGATAAGGTTTTAATACACCAGAAATACAGTTTGGGTAGTGAATATGTTATTTCTAACAAGAGGATAAAAGAGTTATGTTGATTGATTTATTCCTATGTTTTCCATGCTTCTTCATTTTCCATATTCTCTATCTCATTATATTGTAAAGGAATTTCATGGAGAAAAGGGAGGGGAAGAAGAGTAAAAGCGAGGGCTGCAAATTATGTTATATTTGTGAATGAGATCTGAAAAGCCTCTATATTGAGCAGCTTGGTGTGGTAATATATTAAATTCCTAAATATCTGGCTGTTTCATCAGATTTTATTCCAAGTATTGCTTTTTTTTTCTGTTATATCCTATGTTCTAGCTATTATCTCTATCCCTTATACAATAAATATTTAGAAATCTGAGGTTTCTAAAATTATTATTAGCCTGAGTAAAACAATATCAAGCTATCATGAGAATTTTATGTCCTGTACAATAAGCAATCTCAAAGTCAAAGTTGACACTGTTGGAAATAGTATACACTTTTAAGTCCAGGGAGTCTATTTCTTAGTTAAATCAACAAATAATGTCTCTGGGAAATCCCCTCCTTAGCATAATTATGAGGAAATTATGTGCTAATGTTGTTTATTTTGCTACTTTTTGTTCCTCAGATTCTGATGGTAGAATTAACCCTGGGCGAACTGCTTACATTTCATCGAAGAGCTGCTCTATTCCAGATGAAAGCTATGGCTGCTTGTCTTCAAACATTCCTGCATTAGAACTGATGGCTTTGTACGTGGCAGCTGCCATGCATGATTACGATCACCCAGGGCGGACAAATGCATTTCTGGTGGCAACAAATGCCCCTCAGGTAGGAAATACATATTTTTTGAGAAGTTTAAAGAGACACTGTACAAGCCATTATGCATATTCTTCAATTGAATCTTGTGGCTATTCCATCTGATGCTAACGTTCTGCATTGTAATTAATTGGTTAATAACACATGGCCTTGACATGATGTGTACAAGAGAGTTGGGGAAAAATAACCTCTTCAACTAGAAAATAGTAACTTTCATAAATTATTCTGGAGTCCTTTGTGTCAGTATTTTTGTCTTTGTCAAATTGACAAAATTTTAACTAGATATAAGATTTATATTCCTTCTGCCTATGTCCATGGTATAAATAGGGTTAAGCATTTGTAATGGTTGAGAATCTATTCATCTTTTTGTTGTCCTTTACCTTGAGATTGATCTTAATATACAGACTCTAAATCTCCTAGCTCTGAATGTATTAATGTATGATATACGGGGTGCACAAGGTAGCATAGCAGGTTAAGCAACCACTAAGCATGCCTGATCTCATATTTATGTACCTGGGATCAAGTCCCACATTGGCTTCTAATTCAAAATCCAGCTAATGCCTCTGTGAGGCAGTAAATGATGGCCCAAGTGCTTGGGTCCCTGCATCTGATGTGGAAGTCCAGATAGAGTTCTGGCTTCTGGCTTTAGCCTGACCCAGCCTCCTTTGTTGTGGATATTTGGGAAATGAAAATGGAAGATCTCACTGTCTCTCCTCCACTACCCCCCGACCTCAGTGCTTTTTGAATAAATAAATAAATGTTTTTAAGAAAGATTTTATGTATTTACTTGAGAGGGAGAGTTACAGACAGAGACAGGGAGACAGAAAGGTCTTCTCTCCTCTGGTTTGTTCCCTAAATGGCTGCAACATCCAGAACTAAGCTGATCCAAAGCTAGGAGCTTCTTCTGAGTCTCCTACATGGGTGCAGGGGCCCAAGCATTTGGGCCATCTTCCACTGCTTTCCTACGCTATAAGCAGAGAGTTGTATCAGAAGAGGAACAGCTGGGACACGAACTGATGCCCATATGAGGTGGCCCCGGCTTAGAAAGAAAGGACTAATGTACAGAAAAATTGACCACAGGGTGAAATGATAATTTAAGGTGTAGAAAAGCATTTAACTCAAAAAGATATTCTCAAAGAAATTTAAAAGAATATTATATCTATAAAATAAAGAACAGGGAACTTTGAAAAAGAAAACACCAAAGAACAAGTTAGGGCGTTTAGAAACTAAAAATATAACTGCCAAAATGTTTAAATTTTGGTACAAGTATTGAAAGTAAAATTCCACATTAATATCTCCTATAGACAGACCAAAAAGATAGATAGCAAATATAGAGAAGGAAAAGATAGGACATAGGGAGTAGATCAAGATGTGCTGGGAAAGAGGGGAGTATTTTAATTAAATGGATTCACCAGGTGCCAGGAAAATTAAATAAAAGGAAAAAATAAAAAATGAGACTCACATATAGTGTTATAGTAAAATTTAAGAATACAGAGATTTTTTTTAAACTCTTGAGAGGATAAAAACAACACATCTATCAAACAGTAAAACTTCAGCCAACATTGTGCTTTAGCAATAGTGGATGCTAGAGGATACTAGAATACTTTTCAAAATTCTAAGAGAATTCATTCATTCATTTATTTAATAGATATTTATTGGGTGCACATCACACTATTTTGACATTGTTATTAGATAAAATTGGGGAAAATTCTGCTGTCATTGAACTTAAATTCTCATAAAGCAAAAAAAAAAAAACAACTAAATGTGTGTCAGAGAGAGGTGGTAGTGGGGAGGGAGAGGGAAGAGAGGGGAAGAGAGAGAGAGATTAAGACATACATTCTAGAAAACAGGTAAAACTGGGAAAGAGATAGAAAATGCTGGTATATGAGTGTTATTTTCGAGCTAGAGTTCGGTAATCAGCTAAACTAACATTGGGCATGGAGCAAAATAAAGAGATTTTTCAGATAAACTAATTAAAAAAATCATGTCTCATCCCTTCTGAGACAGTCACCTAAAATGGGGCAGCAAAATATGGATGATGAACTAAGAGAGATATGGGATTACTCATAGTAATAGATTAAACCCAGAACTTCTAGGATAAAGGAATTCCAAGATGACAGCTACTCATCAAGATGACTTGTACCTCTTTAAAAAATTAGCTGCTTTGTTTTCTGTAGCACTTAATTTGTTTCTTTTTTTTTTTTTTGCTAATTTTTTTTTAACTTTTATTTAGTAAATATAATTTTCCAAAGTACAGTTTATGGATTACAATGGCTTTTTCCCCCCCATAACTTCCCTCCCACCCCACCCCTCCCATCTCCTGCTCCCTCTCCCATTCCATTCACATCAAGATTCATTTTCAATTATCTTTATATACAGAAGATCAATTTAGTATATATTAAGTAAAGATTTCATCAGTTTGCCCCCACACAGAACACAAAGTGCCAAACACTGTTTGAGCACTAGTCATATCATTACTTCACATTGGACAACACATTAAGGACAGAGATCCCACATGAGGAGTAAGTACACAGTGACTCCTGTTGTTGACTTAACAATTTGACACTCTTGTTTATTGTGTCAGAAATCTCCCTAGGCTCTAGTCATGAGTTTCCAAGGCCATGGAAGCCTCTTGAGTTCGCTGACTTCGATCTTATGTAGACAAGGTCATAGTCAAAGTGGAAGTTCTCTCCTCCCTTCAGAGGAAGGTACCTCCTCCTTTGATGGCCTGTTCTTTCTACTGGGATCTCACTAGCAGAGATCTTTCATTTAGCTCCTCTTTTTATTTTGCCAGAGTGTCTTGGTTTTCCATGCCTAAAATACTCTCATGGACTCTTCAGCCAGATCCGAATGCCTTAAGGGCTGATTCTGAGGCCAGAGTGCTGTTTAGGACATCTGCCATTCTATGAGTCTGCTGTGTATCCCACTTCCCATGTTGGATCATTCTCTCCCTTTTTTATTCTATCAGTTAGTATTCGCAGACACTAGTCTTGTTTGTGTGATCCCTTTGACTATTAGACCTATCAGTGTGATCAATTGTGAACTGAAATTGACCACTTGGACTAGTGAGATGGCATTGGTACATGCAACCTTGCTTTCTTTTTCTTTTTCTTTTTCTCTTTCCTTCCTTCCTTCTTTCTTTCTTTCTTTTTTTTTTTTTTTTTTTACAGGCAGAGTGGACAGTGAGTGAGAGAGAGAGAGAGAAAGGTCCTCCTTTGCCGTTGGTTCACCCTCCAATGGCCGCCGCGGCTGGCACGCTGCAGCGGCGCACTGTGTTGATCTGATGGCAGGAGCCAGGTACTTATCCTGGTCTCCCATGGGGTGCAGGGCCCAAGCACTTGGGCCATCCTCCACTGCACTCCCTGGCCACAGCAGAAAGCTGGCCTGGAAGAGGGGCAACTGGGACAGAATCCGGCGCTCCACCTGGACTAGAACCCTGTGTGCCGGCGCTGCAAGGCGGAGAATTAGCCTAGTGAGCCACAGCGCCGGCTGCAACCTTGTTTTCTAACTCTACAGAACTTTTGCAGTTGTGAATATATAGTGAGCCACCTTTTTATCCAAGTTTTTTTCACTTCCCAGAAAAACTGAAGTGCTTTAATGATTATAACATCAGTATTTTTAGTGTTTTCTTCTATTTCTTGTATTTCAAAAGAGGGACATTTGTCGAGCTTTTTAAAATTCTTCCTTTGTATAATCTTTTATATACCTGATGGGCTTTTCCTTTTTTTCCCCTTGCTCGTATTTACCAAAGGGTTTTACTATTTGTTGTAACATTCTGCCAATTTGCATTAAACCCTTTTCCAGGTCTTTCCTATTCAGAGGGTGAAAATGTTTAAGATCAACTGATGCAGCAGGTGCTGTGGTATAGTAGGCTGAGCCTCTGCCTATGGTGCTGGCTTTCTATTTGAGCACGAGTTCAGGTCCCAGCTGCTCCTCTTCTGATCCAGCGCTGTGCTTATGGCCTGGGAAGGCAGTGGAAGATGGCCCAAGTGCTTGGGCCCTTGTACCTCTCCAAGAGACCTGGAAGAAGCTCCTGCCTCTTGGCTTGGGATCAGCTCAGCTCTGGCCACTGCTAACATTTGGGGGGAGTGAACCAGCAAATGGAAGACCTTTTTCTCTGTCTCTCCCTCTCTGTCACTCTACCTCTCAAAAAAATAAATAAAATCTTTCCAAAACCAGCTGATTTGCTTTGAGAAATTATAGATGTAAAGAATATTTCAAAAAGTTAAAGGAGAAGTTGGCACCATGGCTAGTGGGCTAGGCCTCTGCCTGTGGTGCCGGCATCCCATATGGGCACCGGGTTCATGTCCCAGCTGTTTCTCTTCTGATCCGGCTCTCTGCCTATGGCCTGGGAAGGAGTAGAAAATGGCTCAGATGCTTGGTCCCCTGCACCTGCATTGGAGACCTGGAAGAAGCTCCTGGCTTCAGATCAGCTCAGCTCCAGCCATTGCGGCCATCTGGGGAGGGAACCAGCAGATGGAGGATCTTTCTGTCTGTTTCTCCCGCTCTCTGATTGTAGCTCTACCTCTTAAGTAAGTACATAAATAAATCTTTTTAAAAAGAGTTAATAGTAGAATTGAGAAGATGTTTATTTTGGTATGAAAATTTTTGAAGTACCGTATAGTTTTTCTTTTTTTTCATTTTTAAAGAAGCAGCATTTCTCAGCTATCTAAAGCTGCTGAGTCTTTTTAGATTTTTAAATTTCTTTTATTTGGAAGAGTTACAGAGAGAGGTAGACACATACCAGCTAGGCTAGAGCTGATTCTAGGGAAGGAGCCAGGAGATTCTTTCAGGGCACCCATGTAAATGCAAGGGCCCAATGACCTGGGCCAACCTCTGCTGCTTTTCCAGGTGCATTAGCAGGGAGCTGGATCGGAAGTGGATCAGCTGGGACTCGAACCAGTGCCCATAAGGGATGCTGGCGCTGCAATCTGGGGCTTTAACCCACTGTACCACTGCACCACAGCACCGGCCCCATTGTTTTTCTGTATAATATCAATTTTTCCATAAACTTTTTGAAGAATCCTCATAGCTGCCTTTGGAGAGAAAAAAAGGATCTATAGCCAGAGAAGGTAGGTAGGAAGGTATAAAGTCAAAGGATGTTAGTTTACTGCAGCTGTAAATAGCAAGGGCATTGTCTTCCTTCTCTACTTTTTTTTTTTTTTTTTTTATGGGCAGAGTTAGACAGTGAGAGAGAGACAGAGAGAAAGGTCTTCCTTTTTCCGTTGGTTCACCCCCAAAGTGGTGCGTTGCGGCCGGCGAGCTGCGCTGATCCGAAGCCAGGAGCCAGGTGCTTCCTCCTCGTCTCCCATGCGGGTACAGAGCCCAAGGACCTGGGTCATCCTCCACTGCCTTCCTGGGCCACAGCAGAGAGCTGGACTGGAAGAGGAGCAACCGGGACAGAATCCGGCACCCCAACCGGGACTAGAACCCGGTGTGCCAGTGCCGCAGGCGGAGGATTAGCCTAGTGAGCCGCGGTGCTGACCCCTTCTCTACTTTTAAGAGCCCTCTGTAAAAAGTAGCTGTGGCTTTATCTGTTTTGCCAGGAGTGTATTTCTCACTAAATTTAAGCTTGTTCTGTTTTTCTGCATGCTACCTTCAGTATTGTTTCTAAGTAGAATTGGCACGTGCATCCTACTTATTGCTCCACTCAGCCATGAGCTAATTAGTTTGTTGCTATCCTGCAAGGGATCGCTTCCACTTACTTTTCACTTGTGTTTTTCCTTTTTATGCACTGACTTCACCTTTTCCCATCCATTTTCATTTTCATCTTCATCATGTCTTTGAACATTCCATTTTGGGGATTGTAATCTGGGTTGTAATGCTGATTGAGATTTTTGCCCCGCTCTTTTTTTTTTGTTTATTTGTTAATTTAAAAGGTGATCTGAATGGTGAAGGAATTTAGAATTTACTCATTTCTTTTATTGAGCTAATCTCACCACTAGCAGAGAGTTTAAGTCGTCTAACTTCACAGGACATTCATTCATTCATTGTGTTCAATTGTGCTGGGAGTTGGATTACTTCTTCCGGAACAGACAGCTACTCTGATAGTTTGTCAGTTTTCATCAGATTTGAACAATTATTAGTGAAATCACTATTTAGCAAAAATTCGCTCCTTAGGGAGTCTTTAAAGCTTATTCTTTGTCTTTGGGATTGATGATGTTTGAAAGACATATTGAGATTCATATGAAATGCCTTTCTATAGACTATTTCAAAGTTTAAATCATAAGCTATAGTGAATTTTTTTTATTTGACAGGTAGAGTTAGAGACAGAGAGAAGCAGAAAGGTCCTCCCTCCGTTGGCCACCATGGCCGGCACTGCGCTGATCCAAAGCCAGGAGTCAGGTGCATCTTCCTGGTCTCCCTTGTAGGTGCAGGGGCCCAAGCACTTGGGCCATCCTCCACTGTCCTCCCAGGCCATAGAAGAAAGCTGGACTGGAAGAGGAGTAACCAGGACTAGAACCCGGCGCCCATATGGAATGCCAGTACCACAGGTGGAGGATTAACCAAGTGAGCCACAGTGCTGGACCCAAGCTATGTGAATTTTAACAAATAATTTTAACTAAATTAAACCCTCAGAATAAGCATCTTACTCAAGATTGCATCCCTTTTCTTCTTCATCATTGTTTCTCATTAGACAATAAGTTCCATGAAAACAGGGGCAGAAGTTTTATTTTTATTCCTGGCCTTTGGCACATTTTGGCTGTGAACATTCTTTTAATAATTATTTCTTTATTTAATAACTTTTGTAATTGCTTAATTTTTATTAAAAGTTATTTATTTAGTTATTTGAAAGGCAGGGTGACAAAGAGAGGGAGAGAGGCAGAGATAGAGCAAGATTTTCTATCCACTGGTTTACTTCCCAAATGGCTGCAATAGCCAGGTCTGCACTAGACCAAAGCCAGGAACCAAGAACTCCATCTGAGTCTGCCACATGGGTGGTAGGTACCTAAATACTGGAGGTGTCCTCCACTGCCTTTACAGGTATATTAGCAGGAAGTTGGATTGGAAGTGGAACAGCTGAGACTTAAGCTTGCATCCTATTTCCTCACAAGCATAAACTTAACCTGTTGCATGACAGTGCTGGCCCTAGGTGCTTAATTTTTAAAGATGGAAAGGGCTTTAGAAAATGTCTGTTCCAATGGTTTTAAATCTGAATCCCAATTTCCTGGTGTGCTCAGAAGGTACCTTAGGATATTCCATCAGAATGATAGAGAATAAGTGAATAATTCTATACTGAACCAGAGGATTTATGCTTCTACCTTTCCCATACTTCTCTCTGACTCTCAGGCATCATGTCAGAATGACAGTACAGGATATTTCTTTCTCAGATGTGCACATTTCTGACTTACCCTGGATAATATTGCACCCTCTTCTAAAGTCACTACCCATTTACTTCATACTGACTAAAGAACAGAAATGTAACCCTACCCCTACTGTAGCTCCCTTTTGACTGTAATAACAGAAGCTTTATGTAGAAGATTCAAAGATGGAGCAAAATAGACTTCAAAATACCAGCTTTATATCTTTAGGGAGGCAGCATGGTAACTTCAAAGAAGATGAACTTTGGAGACAAATAATCATTTACTAGCTGTAGAAGGAAAAGTGTACCTTAAAATTCTTTGTACTTCAATTTACTCATTTATAAAATTATCACAGCCCCCCCCCTTTTTTTTACAGATGTTAACTAAAATACCTGGTAACATCTGATATATAATAGGAACTCATTTTTGTATACTTCCAACCTGCTCCTAATTTTATTAATTATTGAAGTTTAATATCTTTGAGATGACTGCTTCATTTTTCTTTATTCCTTTTTAGGCAGTTCTGTACAATGACAGATCTGTTCTGGAAAATCATCATGCTGCATCAGCTTGGAATCTATATCTTTCTCGTCCAGAATACAACTTCCTTCTTAATCTTGATCACGTGGAATTCAAACGTTTTCGTTTTTTAGTTATTGAGGCAATTCTTGCCACAGATCTTAAAAAACATTTTGATTTCCTTGCTGAATTTAATGCCAAGGTTTGTTTTGCAAATTAGTACCTGGTTTAAAATATGAAAATCATTGCGGTCAGTGTTACTGATAAAAGATGTTTATAAATGTTGTTAGGATTACTGTTGCTCATAAAGTGACAATATATAATCTATATAAAAATAACATGTACTTATATTTTTATTTTTATGTACATATATTTTAGAGTAAAATGTCCTAAAATACAGTTGCTTGCTATGTTTCCTATTGACACACAGACTTAATGTCATTGTGACTTTTCACATAGTGACAAACCAATTAGTTATGTCAAAAGATTTTATAGGAAGATTGGATAAAGTTGTGCACAGTGCCAAGTAAGTCATTATATGAAATTTAGGATATATTTCCAAGAAGCCAATATGTTTACTCTGCCATACATACTAAGTTTTTTTTAATATTAGTGGTTATTTAATTGGCTGTTAGGGGCATAAGTACCCATTTCTACTTGAGAATAATTCATTCATTCAACAACTGTTTGTTTATTGGGATTGCCCACTATGTGCAGTCATTGTGCTAGGGAAAAATGAAGAAAGGTCAAAGTCCTTCTCTACAAAGAACTCACATTCATTAGGGGAACAATAATCACTGACCTAGAATGATAATGGTACAAATGAAGTGTTTCTCTCACTCAGGCATTTGGGGTGAAAAAAAATTGAGAACCACTGCTTTAGATTCCTGAGGGAAGGATGCCTCCTTTTTGGCTAGTAGGAAACTTCTGTTTTCATAATGACTTTTATGAATTAAAGGAAGGTGTGTCTTCTAGGTAAAGCAACTATTAACAAAGAAGTACTAGGTATAACTTCCTGGAAGGAGATCCATATATGTATTGCTGTCATAATATTAATAAAATACTTATAAAAATGGATGAGAAAATAGCATGCTTTTAATATTATTTAATAGCTGTATAGATCTATTCACTTTTAGTTTTATTTAATAAGAATTCATGTAAGTGCTTAAGTCACCTTTTATAGGTGAAAGGTGATCTAAATCAATACCATTGAATCTGTGTTCCTCAAAGGCTGCTGTTTTAAAGTCTCTTAGGAAAATAACACATGAGTTGGGCTCTAGACCACCCATCTAGTTATTAATCAAAAGAGTTCTCCTTTTAAATATTCTTTGTGCTGGTGTTCTACATAAATTATCTTTTGGCAGAAAAATTTGGTACCACAAAAAAAAGCCATCACACTAAAAGTCAAAAGTTATGATCTGGTCCAGTCTCTTCATTTTTTACAAAAGGAGATTTGAGTTCTTGAAAGGCATACTAATTTGCCCAACAAATAATAATAATTACCATGTATTTAAATAACAATGTTAGTTAATACTTATTAGGAACTGGCATTTTTCATTTATTAATGAACTGTGCATTTTTCATTGATTAGGAGCTGGTATTTTTTATTAGTCCTCATAGCAATGTGGCTAAATCATTAGGTATCACTTTTCCTATTTCATATATGAAGAAAGATTCAGATCTGTTAAATTATGTTTCCGGTATTGTACACTGAACTACTAAGTTAGAATTTAAAGTCAGGATTTAAAATATAAATGTCAGCTTCTAAGACCTAAGACCCAGGTTCCTTTGAGTATATAACTTTACCTTTTGTACTTAGAGCCAACTTCTCCTTAGTTCCTTAAGTGTTCTTTTTTGAAATAGAAAGTTAAATGATTGATTTATATTAGATATATATGCATATACATAACACATATATGTATGTACAGATAAATTATGATTGTCTTTGGCTATCAGAAATATTGAAACCCAAGGTTTGATATATGTTTTTAGAAAGCTATGTTCCCATTAAACAAAATTATAGTGACACTTCAAAAGGGAATTTAACCCATTGAGGCCCATCTTGTGGCAAAAACTGATTAAAAGAAGCATTTACTGAAGTTTCTGCCATTTGGACAGAAAATTGTTTAAAGATATTTGACAGAAACAAAACAACAATTATTTAAAAAAAAAAAGCTCACATGCCCTCATAATCTAAAATAATTCTGTTTTTCCAAAATAGGCCAATGATGTAAATAGTAATGGTATAGAATGGAATAGTGAAAATGATCGCCTCTTAGTATGCCAGGTGTGCATCAAACTGGCAGATATAAATGGCCCAGCTAAAGTTCGGGACTTGCATTTGAAATGGACCGAAGGCATTGTCAATGAATTTTATGAGCAGGTAAGTTGAAACCTGAGATTTGGGATTTTTAGGAACTTCCATGTGAAGATACTTCTGTTTGAGATTTGAATAGCTATATAAAATGTTTGAAATCTGAGAAATCTGAGTTAGTTGACAAAAATGTTAGAAATTATTGCATTTTCTCTGGTTCTTAGCATTTTCTCATCTGTTTACTTTTGCTGCTAAAATTTCAAACAACAAAAAATAGTGGAGTATGTTCAATGTACTCTTTTTTTTTTTTTTTTTGACAGGCAGAGTGGACAGTGAGAGAGAGAGACAGAGAGAAAGGTCTTCTTTGCTGTTGGTTCACCCTCCAATGGCTGCCGCGGCAGGCGCGCTGCGGCCGGCGCACCACGCTGATCCGATGGCAGGAGCCAGGTACTTATCCTGGTCTCCCATGGGGTGCAGGGCCCAAGTACTTGGGCCATCCTCCACTGCACTCCCTGGCCACAGCAGAGAGCTGGCCTGGAAGAGGAGCAACTGGGACAGAATCCAGTGCCCCGACCGGGACTAGAACCCAGTGTGCCGGTGCCACAAGGCGGAGGATTAGCCTAGTGAGCCGTGGAGCCGGCCATTCAATGTACTCTTGAGGTCCCTTTCAACCTTGAGAATCTCTAATTAGAATAATTTCAATTCAGATGAAAAGATTTTTAAGTGATTCAGGGTATGCTCAGAATGTATTTAAGAGATTATTAACCTGTTTCCAACCCTCCTGTAGAAAGAGTAACCACCATGCTATAGAAATATCAACTGGGCTAGCTTATTTCCATCTTACCTATTTTGAATTGAACTTCTATAAACAGGAGAATGAAGGTAACTCTTTCACATGCTGATTTCATTCCCTGTGGTTATATCCCCAAGAGTGGGATAGCTGGATCATATGGTGGCCCTAGTTTTCTGAGAAATCTCCATAATGCCTTCCATAATGGTTGTATCAGTTTACACTCTACCGACAGTGTATTAAGGTACCTATTTCTCCACATCCTCACCAGCATTTCTTATGTTTTGATCTTTGTGTGACAGCCATTTTAACTGGGAAGAAGTGATACTGTGGATTTTATTTGCATTTCCCCAGTGGCTAGTGATCCTAAGAATTTTTTCATGGATCTGTTGGCCATTTGTATTTCCTCCTTTGAAAAATGCCTATTCATATCCCTTGCCCATTTCTTAAATGGGTTGATTGTTGTTGTTGAGTTTTTTGAGCTCTTTATATATTCTGGATATTAATTATTTATCAGATGCATAGTTTGTAAATATTTTTCCCATTCTATTGGTTGCCTCTTCACTTTACTGTTTTCTTTGCTGTGCAGAAGCTTCTTAACTTGATATAATCCCATATGTCCATTTTTGCTTTTATTGCCTATACTTCTAGGTCTTATCCAAGAAGTGTTTGTACAGATAAATATCTTGCAGCATTCTCTCTATGCTTTCCTCTAGTAACTTAATAGTTTCAGGTTTCAAGTTTAGATCCATGATCCAATAAAAGTTGACTTTTGTATAAGATGTAATATATGGGTCTTATTTCAAATTTCAGCATGTGGAAATCCAATTTTTCCAACACCATTTGCTGAAGAGACTCCTTTCTGCAGGGAGTGATTTTACTTCATTTGCCAATTATCAGTTGGTTGTAGATGTGTGTTTCCTCTTATTTGTGGTAGTTAATATATATAGAGAGAAAGGATGAAAATTTTGTGGATGTCAGATAATTTGATATATAGTTATAAATATTGCTTCACTGAGTCATACTATGCACATGATAATTTACTCTTGTTTCACATGTTAAAAAAAGGTAAATGGTGAGGTAGGAATAGTGAGGACTCTTGGGGTACTAGTAATGCTTTGCTCTTAATTTGGGTGTTGGTTTTAAGAATGATCAGATGACAAAATAATAGTTGATCTGTACACTTAATTGCATTTTTTGGAATTTAAAAAAATGTTTTAAACACAGAGGTCTAAATATGAGACACAGTAGCTACTTAGTAGTTTTCAGGAACATAAAGATACAAATATGTTTCTTTTCTCATATCTTTAAAAATCATGACTTCCAAATAATCCTACCACACTGCAGAATTAGTGCCTTTTTTATTTCAGCTTTGAGCTTCCATAAAATGTAGAAAGTACACTGATCTCTCCACTATCCTATTGTTTCATTATGTCCAAAATATCAAATGCACCCTCTTGACTTTGGAATTGCATTTTTCAGCCTTGTTAGCTTCTCTCTCTCTCTCTTTTTTTTTTTTTTTTTGACAGGCAGAGTGGACAGTGAGTGAGAGAGAGAGACAGAGAGAAAGGTCTTCCTTTTCCATTGGTTCACCCCCCAATGGCTGCTGCGGCCGGCGCACTGTGGCTGGCGCACCACGCCTATCCAAAGCCGGGAGCCAGGTACTTCTCCTGGTCTCCCACGCGGGTGCAGGGCCCAAGGACTTGGGCCATCCTCCACTGAACTCCCGGGACACAGCAGAGTGCTGAACTGGAAGAGGAGCAACCGGGACAGAATCCGGTGCCCAGACCAGGACTAGAACCCGGGGTGCTAGTGCTGTAGGCGGAGGATGAGCCTATTGAGCCGCGACGCCAGCCCAGCCTTGTTAGCTTTAATAATCAGTAAAAATCAAGATGCCCACCAAGTGAATCTTCCTTTGTTACATGGTTTTCTTTATATGAAGAGAAAATAGGATAGATGAAGTTGAGCCTATGTCATCAAATATACGTACCTCTAGATTGTATTATAGATGGGCAGTGTCTTTTATCTGTCTTAGTTGAACATTCCAACACAATAATGTAAACTCATCTGTTTTGCAAGTTATAAAATACGATACTAGGGATTCATGAAAATGTCTAAGTATTTAAAATTATTAATATTTTACTACTATCTGATAAATACATGATTTGGGGGTATTAATTGGTTATTCTATTCAGTTTTTAAGATTATAATTTGCAGTTTGCATATTCCTATCCTCATTCTAAATAATTGAATTATGCTTTGGAGTTCTTCCTCAGATCTTGTATTCACAAAAGAGGAATATTATGCTAAGTAAAATGCCATCTTTATATTATCTGTATAAGGAGATAATAAGAAGATAGTATATTTCAATTTTACACTAATTCAATGAAATTACTTTAGATATATTCATTTAGATAACTTTATTTGTCTGAAGTTGAATCCTGCCTCATCTTCCATATTGGCAATGTGATCTTGGGTAACTTATTTAACTTCTGTATTCCTCAATTCCCTTATTGATAAAATAGGAATGATGATGATACTATATAAAGTTGCTATCAGGATTAAATGAATTCATAGGTATATGTATGTTATTAGTCCCTGTCATAAGTATTTAATAAATGTTACATATCATAATCCAGATCTATCACAAAACAATATAATACTATCTCAGTTTCAATTAATCTTTGTAGGTTTCATTATTCATGACAAAGGAGAGTGTTGTCTGATATCCTGCCATATATGAAAATTCAAGAAGTTTGTGGAAACTGGGATTAATGGATAAGTTTAGAAGCAAGCATTTAGCCTAGTGGTTAAGATGCCCACATCCCACATCAAAGTGTCTGGGTTTGATTCTCAGCTCAGACTCTTGACTTTAGCTTCCTGCTAACGCAGACCCTGGGAGGCAGTACTAATGGCTCAAGTAATAGAGTTTCTGATACTTATGTGGGAGTCCTGGATTGAATTCCTGTCTACAAGCTTTTGTCTCATCTGAGCTCTGGCCATTGCAGGCCTTTGGGGAGTGAACCAGCAGTTGCAAGATCTCTCTCTGCTCTGTGTCTGTTTAGTTCTCAAATAATAATTAACAAAGAAATAAGCTTATTTGGATACAAAATAACTTTGAAATACGTGTATAGTTTTTGATAATAATGCATTTTCTGTAAATTTTTGAAGACTCTTATGCATTGATTTCAACTTTTTTTGTACAAAATAAAATTATTTTCTGTTTTTCATGAACCTTTTGAGTACTGGTTTTCAAATTTTTTTAATTTATTTACTTGAGAGGTAGAGTTACAGAGAGAGAGAGAGAGAGAGAGAGAGAGAGAGAGAAAATGTCTTCCATCTGCTGTCTCACTCCCCAAAAGGCCCCAATGCCCAGAGCTGGGATGATCCAAGGCAGGGGCCAGGAGCTTCTTCCAAGTCTCCCATGTGGGTGCAGAGGCTCAAGCACTTGGGCCATCTAACACTGCTTTCCCTGGAAATTAGGAGAGGGCTGGATCAAAATAGGAGCAGTCAGGATATGAACTGATGCCTATATGCGATGTTAGATCTGCAGATAAGGCTTAGCCTACTATGCCACAGTGCTTGCCCCTGAAGTACTCTTCTTTTTTAAGTCCTTACAATCACTTCATTTTTTCCCTTCTTTTAAAATTAATTAATTTATTTCCCCCAAAGAAACCTTTTATTTAATGAATACAAACTTCATACATTTCGTAAGTACAACTTTAGGAATATAGTGATTCTTCCCACCATACCCACCTTCCCACCCCTCCACCTCCTCCCTCTCCCATTCCCATGCCCATTCTCCACTAAGATCCATTTTTTATTAACTTTATATACAGAAAGCCAACTCTATACTAAGTTCAACAATTTGCATGGGGGAAAAAAAAGAACTGTTCCTCAACAGTCTAGACAAGGGCTGTTCAAAGTCATTGCATCTTGAAGTTAATTTCACTTCTTTTTTTATTTTAGAAACATAATTAACTTTAAAGAAGCACCCAAGAATGATACATCTTTTGTGAGCACTTAGACATAGCTATGATACAACTCTTTGAGGACAGAGGTCCTGCATTTGAAGTTAGTGCATAGGGACTCATGTTTATTTAAAAGTTAACACTCTTATTTATGACATCAGTGATCACCCAAGGCTCTTGACATGAGCTGCCTAGACTATGGAAGACTTTTAAATCCACAAACTTTGTCAGTATCTAGACAAGGCCATTAGCAAAGTGGAAGTTCTCTCCTCCCTTCAGAGAAAAGTACCTCCTTCTTTGATGGTCATTTCTTTCCACTGGGATTTCACCCACTGAGGTCCTTCATATAGGACATTTTTTGCCAATGTTTTGGCTTTCAATGCCTGAAATGCTCTCATGGGCTTTTCAACCAGACCAGAATGCCTTAAGGGCTGATTCTGAGGTCAGAGTTCTATTTAAAGCGATTGTCATTCTATGAGTCTGCTGTGTGAACTACTTCCCATATTGGAGCATTCACTCCTTTTTAATTCTATCTATTATTATTACCAGACTCTTAATCCTATCCATATGATCACTTTAACACTTAAGATGGTATTTTTACCACCCAGCTTAAAGGGATTTGGGGTCCCATGGTAAGTTTTTAAACTGTACCCTTAGAAGTAAGTCTGTAGGAATATATGCAGTACTATACAACTTTGTAGTTAGAAATGTATTAAACTTGTATTAAACTTTCTTGTCATTCTGGTCATTATACTAAGCTTCCTCAGGTATGGATACAAAATTCTGATCTTAGACAACCATTTTTTTTAATCATACTATCTGTATATACCTGTAGACATTTAAATGTCACACTTAGAAAAGCCAAATTCCTAGAGTACAACTATGAAATTGCAGAGTACTGTGAATAAATCCAACTTTTTTAAAAATTGATAATTTACTTCCATTTGGAGGATAAAATTATAGAGGATTTTAAGTCTTGGGAAAATTAATCATTGCAACAGTTTCTGATAGTTGCATCAGGATTATGCTGGCTCATCAGATATTGCTTGTCTGAAGAATTGGAGCATTGTGGGGAGTAACTCATCTCTAGTTAGTTCAGACACTATAACTAAAACATTAATAATACTATTTGGGGGAATGCTTAGTACTGTGCTAAGCATTTTACGTAATATCACCTTTCATCCTCATAGCAACCCTGTAAGTTAGATTATTATTCAGATTTTACACAGATTAAAGTTGTGCATAGAGTTTGTCTAATATCACATAAGGGTAGGAAGTGGCAAAAGCAGATCTTGAAACCACATCTGTCTGATCTTAAATAATTGCCTCCATAGCTCTAGAAGCCACAGTGAGAGGTATAAGAATACAGGCAGTTCGAGCTCTGGGTCTGCAATCCTCACTTCAACTTTAGCACCTCTAGGTTTATTTGTTTTACACAGTGAGTTTTGTGACTTAGATTTATTAGGGGGCTCTGCCATTTAAAAAATGGATGTTGAAAAGCACTTGCAAAATTTAGCTTTGTACATTTAAGGTACAAATACAACAACATATTTCCATTACTATGGTTTTCCTCCTAAGAGGAAAAGAATGTATGTTTGACATCATAGAATTTTGAGGTTCTTAATAAAATTACTGATACATATGTATTTTTCTTGTCAACTAAATATCAACCATAGTGGTTGTTATTGACAGAATGTAAGGATTTAAAGTTTTGTTTAGGATTTCTCAAATATTAGAGGAATTCTTACAGTTGAAATGATAGAATAGATTCATTGGAGTTTCTTTGTAAAAGTAATTTTCATGTAGACTATTTTTTGAAAGGCCTCAAGATAATTTTAACAACAAAGCTCAGTGGTTGTCCTTTCAACAGTTGAAGATATATATTTCACTTTGTGTTTCTATGGGGGTGATATAATTTTCTTTTTAAAATGTTTAGGGAGATGAAGAAGCAAATCTTGGTCTGCCTATCAGTCCTTTCATGGATCGTTCCTCTCCTCAACTAGCAAAACTTCAGGAATCTTTTATCACCCACATAGTGGGTCCCCTGTGTAACTCCTATGATGCTGCTGGTTTGCTACCTGGTCAGTGGATAGAAACAGAAGATGATGATACTGAAAGTGGTGACGATGAAGATGGTGAAGAATTAGAAACTGATGATGAAGAAATGGAAGACAATCTGAATCCTAGTAAGAAATGCAAGGATACCGTAGATGCCTACTTAATTTGAACTTGGATCTCTGTCTCTTAGATTCAGCATTCCTATCTAGAGTAACTGTGTAAATGTTCAGATTTGTTTCGAGTAGCTGGAATATGCTTGGTACAATGTTAATACTGTCATACAGTGAGCAATTTTATTTTCACCTGAGGTGCTATCTTCCAGTCAATGCTCTTCAGCAGGTCCCTGAGCATGCATGATAGGTTTTATGTGTACGTATAACATTCGTGGATGGGAGGGTCCTAGTGGCTAGTCCACTTTTATCTTACCTCCCCTCACATACCTTATGCCCAATAGGCAGCTGAGGATCATAACATCCAAAGCAGCCCACTAATGTACTCTCTCATAAACTTAGAAAATGGATCAAAATATTTAGAAGAAAAAGAAAACATGTACTCCCTAGCACTAAAAGGAAAACCACGTTTTGTGATATGAATTTCAGTTACCAAACTGTCATAACATTTTTCTCTAAATACAATGTGTATAAAATGAGAAATGAAAATAATTCATAACTTGTAACTATGGATAAAAGCAGTTATTTGCTCTATATTTTAAGATAGAGCCTAAATTATACCTAAGTGGTTTTTTTCCAAGTATAGGATGATAACAAAGATTCCTGCTCCCCACATACATCTTATATTTAGGATTACCTTAGTAAAAAATAATTTTAAGCTATTAACATCAGAGCATCAATTTGGGAAGGTTGAATGGCTTCTAAAAATTAACTATATTCATCAAAATGTTAATATTATGGTTAATTCAATATATAAGAAAGGTTTGCCTATATCCCATATTGAGATGCCTATATCCCATATTGGAGTGTCTGTGTTCATGTCCAGCTCCACTTCTGAGTCCCATCTTCCTGTTAGTGCCCACCCTGGGAGGCAGCAAGTAATGGATCAAGTAGTGAGGTCCCTATCACTGACACAGGAGACCCAGATCAGACTCCAGTTTCCTTGTTTCAGCCTGACCCAGATCTGGCTGTTGTAGGCATTTGCAGGGTGAACCAGTGGATGCAAGATCTCTGGCTGGCTAGTTGACTTTCAAATAAATGAAAATAAGGGGAACAAATTAAAAACTTAGCTTTTAACTTTGGATTGTGATTATTTTCATTTGAGATTTCAACTATCCTCCCTTCCTCCCACTCCATCTTCTTGAAGTCCCTTCTCTGTTTTATTTTTATCCATAACACTTAAAACCATCCATCATACTTATATTTTATTTCTTTTTGCTTGTCTAGATCTTTCCACTAGAATGTGAACTCCATAGTACAAAGGTTATTTTTATCTCATTATTTTCAAAACCAGTGCTCAAATAATAAAATTTTAAAATATCCAGAATATATTAGGCACTTAGATATTTATATTTAATGAATTAATCATATTGTTATGGTAAGGATATGTTTGTTTTATATTTCGCAGACCCACAAAGGAAAGGCAGGCGGCGAGTATTTTGTCAGCTAATGCATAACCTCACTGAAAACCACAAGATATGGAAGGGGATCATTGAAGAAGAAGAAAAATGTAAAGCTGATGGTAATAAACTGCAGGTGGAGAATACTTCCTTACCTCAAGCAGATGAGATTCAGGTCATTGAAGAAGCAGATGAAGAGGAAGAGCAACAGTTTGAATGAAAGTCATATTGAAGAAGCCCATTGGGCTGCATCCAGGGTCAGAAATCATTGCCTACTGTTCACTGTGCTGACTTTCCAATGACCATTCCCATGTGGACAGGCCTTAATACTGTGAGAGGATCCTTGCTGTGCTGACAGTTTCTCACTCCTATGCACTTTCACCACATGAACTACAAAATTATTCTTAGAGCTATTGAATACGTTGCAAGCCATTACTTAAAACCTTTGCTGGTGTGTAAATACTTGGTCACAATGCTGCTTTTTGAGTGGGGGGAGGGAGGGTAGTGAGCTCTTCTTTTTCATGGGTAGGGGTTAGCTAGAACTAAAAACTCAAGTGACTTACTTCAGTTCCAAAGTGGCTAGGACTTTTTGCTGTCATGAAAACAAGTTTCATATTGTATTTCCAAATGTGTATTTTATATCTTTGACTATTTTGAAAAAAAAAAAGTCTGTGCCTATCTAAAAAGGAATCCAGCATTACCCTTGTGAGGGATTGCTGCTCAATGCAATACACTGTTCAGTGCTGTTCTCCCAGCTAGGTTCATCCATGAAGGACTGAGTGACCTTTGTTATATTTAACAAAATCCAGGTGCATCAATTTCTGATGCTTTTTATTGTTGTGTATTATCTGCTATGTATGTTTTATTTCCACTCAGAGTGTTCAGGTTTGCCGTGGACATCAGAAGTCTGAATTCCAGTCTTATTGACTTCATGGTCCATGGTTGAATTTTAAAACTGTTTTGGTTTAACAATGAAGGAATTTTATTTTTTAATCAAAACTGTTCTTTTTACTCTTGCTCAGGATTAGTATTTTTAAACATTTAGTTTATGTAAACACAGTGCAGATTTGTGAGAAGAAAAAAATTTGTCCTAATATTAACCTTTTATGAAATGAACACCATTTTCTCTCTTCTTAAATGAATTTGAGACCAATTAAAGTCACATAAAAGAAGCTGTCTTTTGCCTTAATGCAAAACTCAAATGAAACTAATCCTATCACAGATAAAGAACAAAAGAAATATTGTGAGCTCTAAAGGACATGCATATTAAGTAAACAATTAGAACATATGGCTATCTTTAGATCAATAATTTAGGTATCATGTATTTAATTATTGTAAAACTGGCATTAATCTTTTAGTTTATTTCCTCTGACTCAAGACAGAAAATTACCCGTTACTACTCCATATTCTCAGAGCCCATCTATAAGACTGATTTCTCAGGTGAATTAAATGATTGGGAATACCTATTTAATTTTTAAATGTAAAAATATTATGATAAATCATTTCACACAAAAGCACATAAATAGCAAAGTTAATATGGTTGCAAAGAAAATGGATATTTAAATATTTGTAAGCTTGTTAGGGAGCAAATATGTACCCTTGCTGTTTTAAATATTTGAAGATATAAAGAGCAGTCAAAATGATAGCAGGATGGTAGACTAATATTTTCCTTTTTTGAAGACTGAATCATATTTTGCATCATTGGAATTCTGTAAAGACAATTTTCTAATGTGTTATTTATCCTTTAAAGTAAAATATTGGCAGGCAATTTCTTACCTACCTAGGATATCAGGCTCATCTGAAAGCTATCTACTAATGATATATGGAAGTGTTGGAATTTTTAATCCTATAGACTTTTTATCATAATATTTAGTGAATCACTAAGCTTTATTTATTATATTGGTAATATGCTGAATTCCTTCCTGTCAGTTTTTTCCTGCTGTTGGCACACCATTTGTAAACTGGTCTTACCATATACTACCAAATAAAATTTTAAATGGTAATTACTGAGTTTGCACTTATAATGTATATATCCTGTGCATATATCCTTTGCATATACTCATATTTCTCTAGAGTACATTTTGTGTCCTGCATAAATGTATTTGTATTCATTCCTCTCCTGCAGAATACATGAGTGTGTGTGTAACATGCATACTTGTGCAACGTGCATAATCAGACTCAATCAAATTTATGTACTTTCTGTTGTTTCGTTGAAATTTTCTATTGGATTTTTAATTTATATTTTTCAAAAGAAACATGTTTTGATTCTTTTAAAATACTATTATTGGAAACTCATTTTAAGTTATATAACTCCTAGATTATTTAACCATCACTGAATAACTGCCATATACCAAAATAACTAGTACAAAGAAACCCCAAAAAATTATCTCTCTGAAACTTCAATAGGAAATGGATATGAGAGTATATTACATAACACATAATACTAATAGATCAAATTTTACTTGAGAAATTACCATAAGCCATATTTTAGACCTTATTTTGATGGCTACTGACTCATAAATTCTTTATAATTTTCACCATGTATTTGCTTTTAAGTCACTATTATTATAGATATTATTATAATGCTATAATATATCAATGTGCTCACAGACATATTTTTGTCCTTAAAGATCTTTTTAAAGTTATTCATGACTTGAAAGTTGTTTCCTGTTATTGCTTCCTTTGTTGGTTCTATTTGCTTTCTCTACTTATTTTACAAGACATTTAGAGATTGTGGCATTGCTTAAATAGCCAAAAATTTGTACTATTTCTCTAGACTGCATTATCTTATAGAATGAACTTCAAAGAGTTGAAAGAGCCAACTCTGTTTCCTTTATTATAGTTGCCAGGCTAATATGAGAAGTTCTAGAGGATGTGTGAGATCGCAGTGGAAGGGATGAACAGCTTCTCAGAGGAAGGTAACTTGGGCTGACAAGTGAGGAAGTTAGAGTTAGATCAGGGATGGCTGCTTTTAGAGAGAGAATAATAGTATATACAGTGGCCAGGGGAAGAGAAAGCATCCCACATTTGAAGAGTCAAAAGAAATTTAGGGGGCGGAGCCAAGATGGCGGAATAGTGAGGGCACGCACCGATAGTCCGGGAAAATTTAGTTTAATAAAAGGGGAGTTACGGTAGCCTCAGAAAAAAGAACCAGGAAAATATTGCAGAGGAAACTCTTCTGGATTGAGTGGTCGTGAATCGGAGGACCTACTGGGAGAACAAGGTCGCCCACCGCGCGGAAGCCGAGCCGTGGGACCGAGCCGCGGCAGCCGAGCCGCAGGACCAAGCTGTGCAAGCCGAGCCGCAGGACCGAGCCGCTGGAACGCGAGGTGAGCCCGAGACACCGGCAGGCAAGCGGAGAGAGGAGACTAGAGGGAACGACCCCCGGGGAGGGGGGGAACTTCACCAGGCTAACTGGAAGAGAGAGAGGTGACTGGTACGGACACGGGTTTCTCTCTCTCCGCTCACCTCTCAAGGGCGAGCAAGACAAAGAGCAGGCGCCATCTTGGACATACGCCATAAGCAGAGCGACCTCAGGTCTGCACCGGCCCTGAGCCTAGCAGAAAAACCTGACTCTGGGCGGGGCAAATTAACAGGAGATTAGGACCTAGTAAATTTGTGGTGCTACTGAACTGAGACTGTGAAAAAAGAGACGGTGGGGGAGAGAACTCACGGAATTCACGTGAGCACTCTCCAGAGACGCTACAATTCCGGAATTCACGTGAGCACTCTCCAGAGACGCTACAATTCCGTAACTTTGGCAACCCAGTGGGAGACTGAAGGAGAATTTGAGCCCACTCTGAGGGCCGAACAGATTCCCTGTGTGGTCCTTGGGAAAGAGCTTCTGATCTCTGGCTCCTGTGGGTATATCATTTGCCTGCTAACTACCTCCAACTTCGTTCAGCTGTGCAGAATAACTTCCCTTTTGAATCAAAAAAAAAAAAGAGAGAGAGAGGTTTACCACGCCTAACCTGGGAGTGTCACCTTTGGCACACCAAACAGAGCTCTCAGGCCACACCCATCTCAAGCCCTAAGGCTCCATCAAAAACAGATAGTCCACTTAATCTAGAGTCATAGTATAACAAGAAAAAGCACCACAGTGAAGAAACCAAATATCTCCAATATGCCAAATAACAAATGCAAAAACCGAGGTAATAAAAACAAGGAAGTCACCATGAAGCCCTCAAATGAAAAAGACACCCCAATTCAAGATTATGAGGATGATGAGTTACAAGAAATGCAAGAAGCAGATCTCAAAAAATTGATAAGAACATTAAGAAGTTCTCAAAAACAAATTCTTGAACTACAGAAATCCTTAATGGACAAGATAGAAAATCTCTCTCGTGAAAATGAAATATTAAGGAGGAATCAAAATGAAACGAAACAACTAGTACAACAGGAAACTGTGATAGTGACTGAAGTGAAGAATTCAATAGATCAAATGAAAAACACAATAGAGAGCCTTACAAACAGAATGGGTGAAGCAGAAGAGAGAATATCGGACTTAGAAGACAGAGAACAGGAAAGGATACAGTCAGACCAAAGAAAAGAAGAGGAAATTAGGAATCTAAAACATATTGTCGGGAATCTTCAGGATACTATTAAAAAACCCAACATTCGGGTTCTAGGAGTTCCTGAAGGCATGGAGAGGGAGAAAGGATTAGAAGGCCTTTTTAGTGAGATATTAGCAGAGAATTTCCCAGGTTTGGAGAAGGACAGAGAAATCCTAGTACAGGAAGCTCACAGAACCCCTAATAAACACGACCAAAAGAGACCCTCACCACGACATGTTATAATTAAACTCTCCACAGTGAAACATAAAGAAAAGATCCTAAAATGTGCAAGAGAGAAACGTCAGATTACTCTCAGAGGATCTCCAATCAGACTCACAGCTGACTTCTCATCAGAAACTCTACAAGCCAGGAGGGAATGGCGAGATATAGCCCAGGTACTAAGAGAGAAAAACTGCCAGCCCAGAATATTATATCCTGCAAAGCTATCATTTGTGAATGAAGGTGAAATAAAGACTTTTCATAGCAAACAGAAATTGAAAGAATTTGTTGCCACTCGTCCAGCCCTGCAAAAGATGCTTAAAGATGTGTTACACACAGAAACAAAGAAACACGGTCATCAATATGAAAGAAGGTAAAGGAAGGAAACCAAGGAAGGAAACCTCACAGTAAAAGATCACAGGGAATTCAAAGCATATATTAGAACTTATCTTTGGCAAATGGCAGGGCAAAGTTACCACTTATCATTAGTCACATTGAACGTGAATGGCCTGAACTGTCCAGTTAAAAGACACCGATTGGCTGATTGGGTTAAGGAACAAAACCCATCTATTTGCTGCTTACAAGAAACTCATCTTTCCAACAAAGATCCATACAGACTGAAAGTGAAAGGCTGGAAAAAGATATACCATGCCAACAGAAATGAAAAAAGAGCAGGCGTAGCCATCTTAATTTCAGACAACATAAACTTTACCACAAAAACCGTTAAGAGAGACAAAGAGGGACACTACATAATGATTAAGGGATCAATTCAACAGGAAGATATAACAATTATCAATGTATATGCACCTAACTACAGGGCACCGGTTTATCTAAAAGATTTGTTAACGGACTTAAAGGGAGACTTAGACCCCAATACAATAGTACTGGGGGACTTCAATACTCCACTCTCAGAAATAGACAGATCAATAGGACAGAAGATCAACAAGGATACAGTAGATTTAAACGACACTATAGCCCAAATGGATCTAACAAATTTATACAGAACTTTCAATCCTACAGCTAAAGATTTTACATTCTTCTCAGCAGTACATGGAACCTTCTCTAGGATTGACCACATACTAGGCCATAAAGCAAGTCTCAGCAAATTCTAAAGAATTAGAATCATACCATGCAGCTTCTCAGACCATAAAGGAATGAAGTTGGAAATTAGCAACTCAGGAATCCCTAGAGCATACGCAAACACATGGAGATTGAACAACATGCTCCTGAATGAACAATGGGTCATAGAAGAAATCAAAAGAGAAATCAAAAACTTTCTGGAAGTAAATGAGGATAACAGCACAACATACCAAAACTTATGGGACGCAGAAAAAGCAGTGTTGAGGAAAGTTTATATCAATAGGTGCCTACATCAAGAAATTGGAAAGGCACCAAATAGA